ATTCAGCCATCATCAGAGACGTGTCCTCCCTCCTACAGCGGATGGTGGGAACAAACACAGAGACCCATCGCCAGACATTACATAGAAAATGAGAGACCTTGGAACACACAGCCCTGAACAGGTTGTCTCCAACCAATCCCTCACCTCAGGGCTCAGAGAACCCAGAAGAAGAGGAAGCAGAAAGAGTGGAAGAGCTGGAGGATGGAGGACACCAACAAAACAAGACCCTCTAAACCAACATGATCAAAGCTTATATGAACTCACAGAGGACACTGATGCAGCATGCCCAGGGCTTGCACACGTGTGTGCCAGGTCTTCTGGGTAAATATGGTGGCCTCCAGTTTAGAGATTTTATGGGATTCCTGAGTGTGAGAACTAGTGGGTCTCTGTCTCCCGTGTCTTCTTTGGAGATCCTTTTCTTCCATTTATTTTTTCAATTTTAATGTGTTAGTTTTGTTTTACCTTTTATATCACATACATCATATCACATCACATCACATCAATCATATCATATCACATCACATCAATCACATCACATCATATCATTATCCCCGGGAAATCTGTTTGTTTTCTATGAGATACAGAAAGACAGTGGATCCTGATGAGAGGGGAAGAGGGGAGGAAGAGACAAAGGGGAAACTGTAATCAGGATATTTTATGTAAGAGAAGAAATCTATTTTCCAACAATAGGAAATAGTTATAAATTAAATCAGATAAAAAGAAAAAGATAAGATCTTTCTCTCACTGAATGTGGTTATATTTGAACTTGATGACTGGCACTACTTGAGCCACCTTGTGAGATCGGCCCTCTAGCCTTCGGTGTCAATGACTTTCTGAGTCGTGGACGAGAAAGGAAAAAAGACCAGCTGTGCATCACCAAACACAGCTCCTATTCCTGTGTACGCCCGGCAACAAATGTGTGCTATAGAAAAAGGAGATATAGAAATGATATTCATTAGATGATACAGCTATGGAAAGGAGAGATGGATAGCATAATGAAAAACATAAAAATAAACAATAAAAAAACTAAAAAAAATGAGCAAAGAGTCTATAGAAGATATCAAGCACAAAATTAGGGACATAATCTTGGACAAGGTACCTGACCTCCTTAAGTCTTAATTTTCTTATGTAAAAATGGAATGTAATGATGCCAACATTTTCCAAGGACTAAATATAGTAATGCATTAAATAAGTTACATAATAAACTAATAACCACAATTTTATAATAAATGTATTAAATTAGAAAATTAATTTAAATTAGATAGAAATGTGAAGAGGAAAAGTTAAGAACAGTTAGGAAAAAAACCCATGCCTTTCTGGCTTTATAAACCTTATAAAAGTAAGCACATATTACAGCTACAATTAGAAATTTTTGTGCCATATCTTTCAGATTTCAAAGAACTATTTCCATATTTTGGCAGATTTCCCATTAAACCTTAGAAAAACAGTGGCGGTAGGAAGAGGAGGCCCAGTCAAATGTGTGCTATGCATCAGCTGGTCATATGTTTCAGATTTTCCTGTCTCATTTCCCTTTCCCTGATACAAATTTTAATCCTCCTGGAATCTTTCTAGTTATCCTTGAGAGGTCTTGTTGAAAGGCAGCTGGGGCAGGGATTGCTTAGCTGGGGGAAAGAACAATCAGAATGGACTTATACCAGGATTTTATCACCAAAGAACCAAGTGAATTAATACAAAGATTATTAACCTCGTGCATCCTTCCCAATAAATAAGACAGTTATTTACTCAAACTTCCTTTTTATAGACAAAATGAAAGTAGGATGACAAAATAATTCAATGATTTATCCCTCTCATCACACACACATGCACACACACGTACACACATGCACACACACACATACACACATGCACACACACACATTTAGAATCCATCTAAATGCACCCTCCAGTAGAATATACATGACCATTTTTTTTTTCCAGAAATCCCTAAACACAATTTATTTTACTTTCTTAGTAAACCTTTGAATGATTATTTTAACTTAGAACTTTTTTCAACATTGTTAAGTACGGTGGTTGTGCGCCTTTAATACCAGCACTTGGAAGGGTGATTCAGGAAGTCTACCACAAGTTCAAGAACATCCTAGACTACACAGAAAGTGCCAACCCAGGTTGGGCTACAAACAGAGATCCTGTCTCAATCAGTCAATCATTCACTCACTCACTCACTCACTCAATCAATCAATCAATCATTTTTTTATTTAAATCTGCCCACTTATAGCTAGAGAATCTTCATGTTCCCACCTCCATTAGCGCTTGGTGCTGTGTAGGTGTCCTTTCTGCGAGGAACTGGAGTGACGGGAAGAGTAGGAAAGGAGATGTGGAAAGTCCTGGAGAACACAGCTCTGCTGAATGTGCCGCCCAACACCTCTCCCGCACACCTTGACCAAGGCTTCTGTCTGCAGGTGTTTCCACTCTGAGCACTGGTTATGACCAGCAGTTTCAGGTCCTGATGCTGTGGCCACTATACGAACAATCTATACTAGGGTCTGCCTCAGCATCTCTGTGTTCAGCGGCATATTGATGCTGCATCCTAGGACGCTCTGTGCGAGACTGAGAGTTAGGGGCAAACGAAAACAGCGTGGAAGAAAACTTGGGGAAGGCTCTTTTCTGTTAGATTTTATTCTTCTTTCCTGGAAAGAGCTACATGTTGGGGCTGTGTTTAGCCGATATTGGACACACTTGTACCTGTTTTACTTATTTAGCAAACATCTGTAGAGCACCATGCTGGGTCTTTTCAAATGGATAAATCCCATCTCGGTCTCACGCCCACAGTGAGACAAGCATGTGGAGGCTTGTTAGATGCAAATGGTCTGAGGGAACCCAGTCCAGACAGAGCTCTGTGCCCTGTGGGGAGCTGAGGACTCTGGCTCTGGTCTGTCCTGGTTCCCTGGGTTGTGTGGAACACTGTCCTGGAGAGGCAAGCCTCTAAAACAGGGAATTCATTTTCCCTTTTCCCACTCTTATTATGTCTTTGTGGGAGAGGTTTAAGCCAACATTACTCTGAAAACCTTTGATCTGAATCTAAGTTTTCTAAAACCTGTGGCCGAAAATGATGCAGGCGTTAAACTGAAAGATTATGAAATTCTCCATCATGAGAAAGACATGTCAGTATTTCCAGGAAAGATGAGCCAACACCCAAGACACCTGAATCAAAGGGAATGGGAGTTTAGGTGCGATTTGTTTTCTATGCCACCCGCACCAGGTTTTTCTGCTCCAAGGATAGAGGGCCTGCATGCTGAGTACCCATAGGTGCTGCAGCTGAGTACCCACTCCCCACCGTGTCTATGGGTTCAGTTTTCCAAAGAGGCCTAGGAGGTGAGCGCCGCAGTGCAGCGTCCCCTCCTCCCGCCCCTCCAAAGACTGAGCTTGGGCAGTGGTCCGGAACACTAGGATCTCATCTGAAGCCCTTCTCTTAGGAAAAGCAGATCTTTGGGTAATTTCAATTTCAGATGTTCTAACCCACAGAGGGAAGGAGGAAATTATGCAGGATTCATAATGAAGAAGAGATCGTGATACAGCCCCGCCCCCTTCACTGAAGTGAACACAAGTTCAACTGTGGATGCTGATCTCTGTTTCCACTGAGTTGAAAAGATACTGCAAATGTATTTTATTCCCTGTGTTGGGATGCCTTGTTCAGCCTTGGTGCAGGGGGGAGGAGCTTGGTCCTGCCTGGACTTGATGTGCTAGCATTGCTGATTCCCATGGGAGGCTTTACCCCTTCTGAATGGAGACACAGTAAGAGTGGATGGGGGAGGGGAGCAGAAGGTAGGTGGGGGGAGGGAACAGGGGAAGAGGAGAGAGGGGAAATTGAGATTGGAATGTAAAATAAATAAACGTGACGAATAATAGAAAAAATATAAATATATATTTGAAAAGATGAAACGGTGGAGCAAAGAAAGTGTCCTCTGAAGTTTGCAGGGCTGGCTGAGTTTTTAATAGAACTGATTTCGGAAGTATATGAATTTTGCACAATTAAAAAAATACGGAAAGGCAAGATATCATAGGGTCCTGTGTCTCCATGCAAGTTGCAGTTTAATTCACAATAGGTAAGATATGGAAACAGCTCGGTGCCTATGAACAAAGGAGTAGCTACGGAAAACGTGATATGTGAGCTCAGTGGGGTTCTATTCTGACCCGAAGAGTGGAATACTGCAGAACATACCAAAGGAAGACAGTTTCAGGAAGACAAATACCACACGTTTTCTCCCATATGAGAATCTAGATTTTTGTATGTATGCATATATGGCATACAGAGGGGAAATAAGGGACCAATTGGAAGCGGGGGTGGGGAGCAGCAAGAGCGGAGGGCAGTGAGGTGGTGACTATGAGGGAATCCAATGGGGTGTGTGTGTGTGTGTGTGTGTGTGTGTGTGTGTCTGTGTCTGTGTCTGTGTGTAGGTGTGAAAACGTCGAAATAAAGCAAATCACTGGGGGTCCAACTAAGGTTTGGCTTTAGAACTTCACCTTAAAAACAACTAAGGACAGAGACAGAAAGGATGTATGCACAAGACAAACTGGTAAAAAGCTCGGTTCTCCCAGTTCTTTCTGAACAGCAAATCCTTCAGCCCCGAGCTCTCACGTAGCTGTTTTTCCGCTATTGGCCTCTCGCCACCCAGTGGCGGATTTATTTCTACCTTCAAGCTCATCTCTTCCCTCCCTCCACCTCCAAGGCTTCAGTCCCTATACAAAGGTCACATCGCAGGGGGTCACTCCAGCGCGGGCAATATTGTCCTTTGCTGGGGGTTGGGGCTGGGGGATTGAGGCAGAACTCGAACATCCTATGCTGCTCAGTGGGAAAGCAGGATCCAGGACCTGAGGGAGAAGTTAGTATAGTAGCACGCGCGTGTCCCCAACACACTCATCCCACGAGCTCAGGGGTGTGGCCCTATCTTTGTTCTGACACAGAGACCTGAAGCTCCAGGAATTTCCCCAGCCCTGGGCTGGGGCTTTTCCTGCCACCATGCATAAAAGGGGCTTGCAGGGCCCTGGAGCCCCAGATCGCACCACAGTGCCTGCAGCCAGCTCCTGCACTCAGACTCCAGCCACACTCCTGCTCAGCGCCATGGCCCCAGCCACACGTCCTCTCCTGAGTGCAGCGCTGCTGTTGCTGCTGCTGTTGGCCACCAGCCACCAAGCTACAGGTGGGACCCGCGGCTGTCATCCCTGGAGGAGCCTCGGGTGGGCGCAGCCTCCCACAGCCTACTGACAAAGTGTCTTTTCTCACAGGGACAATTATGGCCAGTGAACTGCGCTGTAAGTGCCCGAAAACCATACCAAGGATTGCTTTGGAGGAAATCCAGAGCTTGAAGGTGACGCCCTCAGGACCCCACTGCACCCAGACAGAAGTCATGTGAGTGTCTCCCCAGGCTGTCTCTGCCACTGCCAGAGCCGTTCAGACCCTCCTGCTGCCCCATGCTCACTCCAGTGGGACCTCACAGCTTAGAAGGGTCCCCCTTTGTCTCTGCAGAGCCACTCTCAAGGATGGTAGAGAAGTTTGTCTGGATCCTGAAGGCCCTAGGCTTCAGAAGATCATCCAAAAGATCCTGAAGACAAAGACGTGAGTGATGCTTTTTTTGTTTGAGCTCTCTGGGCCTCATCCTAGTACTGGACTCTGACTCCTGAAAACTACCTCAGGGAAAGTCACTGAGCTACGAATGTGATGATTATCTTTACAATTCTAATAACCCTTCTGATAATTAATTAGTGTATCGTGGTGCTGGAAGGGTTTTTCCAGGAGCCTGTATCCCCACCTGTAGCTTATCTCCGTTGAATAAGAGTAGGTAACACAGCTTTTTAAAAATTTTCATTTGCCTTGGCCTCCCAATATGTATGTAACTATGTATGTAGATAGATAGATAGATAGATGATAGATAGATAGAAAAAGATATAAATATGCCCAAACCTGTTATCCATCTACTTCAGTAAAATTTAGCTTGAGACTTAATAAAAGAGCTAAGACCTGGTGCGACAGACAAACTTCCACAGCCCTAGCTTTTTGAGACCAGAGGTCCCGCTCCCCTCCATCCTGAAGGAGTACATCTACCAGGGCTGAGGTGTGTGCACTATGGCACAGCGCCACAGGCAGAGACCACTGGGGCCAGGCTGTACTCAGAAAATTCAGGAGAAAGACAGCTGTCACTTAATAAAGACATCCGTTTTCTCATGACAGCGCCAGCTCCAGCTGAGCCAGGAAAGGATGGAGGACCTGCCTGCAGAGCAAAGAGGAAAGGAACGACTCTGCCCGTGGCCATCGAGATGAGGCTTCTCCTGCTGGCTTTGAACAACTTCTGAAAGTCCATATTTATTGATTTTCCCCGAATTCTATGCTGATATTTTACATGTAAAATAACTAAGGGTATAGTTGGATCTACTTGCAAGATGCCATAGTATTTGCTGTTTATTTAATATGAAGTCTAAATTTAATCAGTCCCCATTCTTAATTTGAAGATTTTCATTTTTACATTAATATTCCGAGGCAACCATTCCCTGCTGACCATTGTGATGGTAGCTGGGGTAGTCAACAGGCAAAGGAAGTCATTCCAATGCAGGGAATGCGTGTGCAATCTGCTTTTGTATCGATAAAGGCTTATCAGTTGTTATTTATTGAAATGGTTTCACAGTGTTACAATGAATGATCAACTTTGTGTTGAAGCTTAAAGAATTGTAATATTTTATATATTCCTTAGACATTTTAAGTGATTTCTGTAAGTCATAATGCCTATTTAATGCTTCTGTGTCTTAGAACTGAGAAGTTTAAATATTTATTGGTATTTTTACAAAGAAAATAAAGTATTTAAAAATAACGCTTGTTTTGTTTCTTGGAGGGCTATTGCTAAAGGTTAACCCAATGACTTACATCGGCGTTTCTCAAGTTTTTTTTTCCTGCTTCCCAAGCACTCAATTGGCTACAAAAATAAATCACTCCATAAGTCATGGCTCTGTTCACTCATTTTGCCCAAGAATGTACTTTCCCCATACTGACTCCTAGGAGACTCCCTCGTCCTCAATTCTAGTTTCAGGGCACGGGATACTCTCTTCTGGCCACCAAAGGCACTAGGAACTCACATGGTACACAAGCATATATGCAAGCTAAACTTAATCCAAATAAAATACATTTTTTTAAAAAAAAGATAGTTCTTTACTACCTTACCACCAAGTTTGTCTCCTAAAATATGTACATGATAATAGTCAGATAGAGGACCTAATTCCATTGCTTTTGGCAAGTAACTTTCCTTTCTTCTTTTAAACTTTATTTTATTTATTTATTGACTGATTTATTTTACACCCAGGCTGCAGCCTCCCCTCCCTCCTCCCCCCCCACTCCATCCCCCTCTCAACCCACCCTTCCTCTATATCTGCTCAGAAAGGGGCAGGCCTCCTATGGGCATCAGCAAAGCGTGGCATATCAAGATGCCATAAGACCAAGCTCCTGATTTTGTATTCAGGTTGGGCAGTCCAGCATTAAGAAGAGATTTCTAAGAGCCAGAAACAGTCCCTGCTCCTATTGCCAGGAGTCCCAGAACTGTCAGATATATGCATAGGGCCCAGGTTGGTCCCATGCAGGCTCCCTGGTTGTTGTTTCAGACTCTGAGTTTCCAGGAAGGAGCCAGGCTAGCCATTTCTGTACATTTTGCTGTGATGTCCCTGGTCCCCCCTGGCTCTTATAACTCTTCCTCCCTCTCTTAAAGATTTAAATGTCCTTGTCAGTAGAATTCCCTGAGCTCAGTCCAATATTTGGCCGTGGGTCTTTGAATCCGCCCCCATCAGTCACTGGATAAAGGCTCTCCAACGACAATCATGGTTGTCACCAAGCTGGTGACAGGGGATAGCCAGTTCAGGCTCTGCATCTACTACTGCCAGGGGTGCTAAGTAATGTTTCTCACAACTGTTGACAATTTAATGAAGTTGACAGTGAAATGATGGCAAACTTGTTATTTTTCCCTTTGAAACTCAGTTGTTTCACCAGAAGCAGAAATAATAAGCGGCTGAGTGTAGATGGAAGCTGTTTGTTCATTTCCCTGGCCACCCAGACCCAAAATAATCACACGGAAACTATATTAATTACAACACTGCTTGGCCTATTAGCTTGGGTTTCTTATTAACTAACTCTTATATCTTAAACTAGCCTGTTTCTATTATTTTATATTTTACCACAAGACTTGTGGTTTACCAGTAAGGTTCTGGCTGGCGGCTCCTTGACTCCGCCTATTTTCTCCTCTGTCTCTGCTGGGAATTTTTGCCTTGTTCTATTCTGCCCTGTCATAGGACAAAAGCAGGTTCTTTATTAACTAGTGGTAATAAAACATACTTATAGCATACAGAGGGGAATCCCACACAAGCTGAAGACTTCACTTTTCAAAGGGTCTGAGACTTGGGCCAACACTCCACCTTATCATGTTAAAAAGTATTACCCCTCTTAATATCCTAATTCTTTATATCAATACATAAAATATTGGCATACATATACTGGGTTTGACTGCATTGGTTTTCAGCCTTCTTAGTGACATTTTTCATAGACCTTGAAAGAAAGCCCTTGAATAACTTATGTACAATGCTGCCCAGGATGGGAACTGCACTCCAATTTCTATGGATAAAATTGTGTGAAAAAGAAAACAGCTCAGTAATCTAAAACAAAACTCCAAGACTAGAAATGAGAGTCTTCTGTGTTTGCAACTGTGAAGTACATGATGGCTTCCTATTTAGAGATTTAGAACTTATTAAGAAATCCCAAATTTGGGTGAATGTCTCTCACAGAGGCAAGAAGTTAGCACTGGCAGCCTGAGTATTTGAGATTCCCCCCTTTGTTCCATGCTGAATAAATAAGTCCATGAGTAGCAGGAAATAAGTTCTGTGGGTTCATCCCTGCCACATACCTAAAGCTTGAAAGTTATAATAATCTCTTTATCTTCTGGGTTATTACTTAGAAATGATTTAGAAAGGAAGAAAGTTTGTAAACTACACAAAAATAAAGGCATCGACACCTGTCTAGAAGCTATACAGTGTTAGCATTCCCTCCCTAACTCCAACTGACTGGGCCCTGGAAAATGTCTAGAGGAGGCAACCCAGGGTTCAGTAAAGCTATAATTCATACCTAAGGCCCTCCAACATTGGACCTTGCTCTTTAGGCTTCAAAGTCCTTATCAGTAGTAAACACAGGACACAAGAAGGACAGAGGACATCCTAATGGTAGTTAACACCGTGTTTCAAAGTAGCAGACTGGGTTTTGGAGTCAGTTACAGTTCTATCATAATCTTGGGCAACTTCCTTGACTTCACTCAGTTTAACTTCCCTTCCTAAATAGTATTCAAAAAGAACAAGAACGTGTCTTCTGAAGTGAGGAGGAGATTAAATATTAATGGCTCAGAACTATGAATATTTGCTATTGTTCATAAGCCCAGTTTTAAGGATATGTTTCAGTTTCCAATGAAACGGATATGAAAAATGCAGTTTCCCAATTCAGTTACCCCGAGACTTAGAAAGTGCCATACTCTCCCTTCAGGAATGCTGTGATGATTAAGAAGTGGGACATAGGACATGTGAGGTGGTAGTCACTGGTTGAAGGTAACAGGAAATGGAAATGATGTAACAGCACAATTTCACGAGCCTGGCTACTAGAAACACCGATGATCACATGGCTGGGGCTCCTGATCAGGCCTCTAAGAGCGATAGTGAGAGGAAGAACGATGAGGACGTTACCCTGTCCTTAGGAGCTCTGTCTTGTGAGTGCTTCAGAAGCATCATCCTGGGACTCCCAGAAGTAACCAAAGAACACTAGGGATGGTAGAGGGGAAAGGTCACAACAGTACAGGATACAATCCAGAAGAATAAATGATGCCATTTCTCTAATCATACAAAGAATAAGAAAGGCAAAGAACCTGTCTATTAAACATCATCCACGTTCCCTCACTCACCAACTTCTCAGCTTAATGCCTCTGCCCTCCTGCCTGATGCTCCTTCATCTGAAGGAAAAGTGGACAGGGCAGATGGCTTACTGAACCAGAAAATCTGGGATACAAGGCCTTCAAGAGCATCCTTCAAGCTCCAGGGGCAGGTGGTAGTTAGTACATAAAGTCTGAGTTCTTTCTAGCCTTATGGTATGTATAGTTTACTGAAGGATTTGATTGTTTGCCTTTACTACTAAATGACTTGAAATGAGGGACCATTGTGAAGAATATTTTACAAGTTTTCCGGGTACACAAACAAGAGGCTTAGTGTCACCCTGCCACCTCTTCATTACGATGTTTACTGCCTTTCCCTCTTCTCTCCCTCCAGGGCTGCTTTCTCTCCCTTGTTCATCCAGTGAGGTAAATATTTGTATCCAATTCTGCTTCAAAATGCACATAATTTGAATACTTGGACTTCCCGGAAATTAAACTTCAAGGTAAAGACTTGTGCATTGTTGTTTTATTAATGAGTCAACTACCAAGAATTGGGGGTTGGAGCTGGGGAGCGAACGTGAGGTGAGTCAGGGAACCTACGAAATCTGGCAGGAGATGCATATTGTAGTATGACCAACATCATGAGGGTGAAACAGCCGTTCACGGCCGGTTTCAGCGGAGCCATAGGTCTCTTGGGGTGTTGCAGTCTTATCCTGCAATAACTATGAAACACACTTAAACCAAGAAATAAAAGCTGCTGCAATCTACATTAAGTTCATAAGTTCTCCAAGGAGCCAGATATTAGTCTTTGGCTTCTTTCTTTCCTTCTTTTTTCTTCCCTCCCTCCCTCCCTTCCTTTCTTCCTTTCTTCCTTTCTTCTTTCCCTCCCTCTTCCTTTCTTTTCTTCTTTCTTATTTTTTGGCTGCATTTAAAGCTGAAACCTGGACCAGGATACTTAGTCCCTAAAATAGAGGAAAGCGTGTTTACTAGGCTACAGCCAGGTTCCCTTTCTCCAGTAGGTTGGCATATTACTGATGTTTGTCTTTCTTTTTAAAAGCATTCATTGTTTGCTTTTGAAAGTGAGAGATAGTTAAAATCCTTTCCATTGTCTTCAGTAATCATTAGAATGAGAAATCAGACAGTTTACGGAAGAAAAAAAAAACCAATATTTTGGCAGCCAGGTAGGAGTTTAGGTTCAATATCATAGAACTCTCATTTGATCTCACTTTTTAAACTTTTCCACTATTTCTTTATAGCACCAAACTAGGAATGAAGCCTCTAGTATATGGGCCTTTGAGGAAAATTTCAGATCTGAATTATAGTAAACACAGATCATCTTGGGGTTTAACATATTTTTGTCTGCCCCTCTAAAGCAGGATGTTATATAGTGATATTAAAATAAATTAACTCAGTTTTAATTCTCTTTCAAGACATAGTGCCTACAAAAGGTCCTGATACATAATGAATGTTCAATAAAAATGAGAAATAATTTTTTTTATTTTAAGCCAAGTTTGTCTTTGGACTATATCAGCTTTATAGTGTTCACATATTTAGTTAAATGCTATAATAGATTAAATTGTGTCCCCTAAAATTCATATGCCTCGAGAGATCCTAAGCCATAATACTTCAGAATATGAGCTTATTTGGAGATTCAGTCCTTTAGCAAGCAACTGAAGTGATTGAGTGCTAACTATTGTAATGGAAAGACAAATTAGAATAGGAGGATGGAATAGGAAGGGGCATGGACAGGAAAGTAAAGGTGGAATAAGGGGAGGGATGTTCACACTAGCAGTCATTTGAAAAACAATATAGAAGCCTACTACTGAAGATACTACCTGCTGGACTGACATTTCAGTTGTGTTTTAATAAATAAAGCTTACCCGAAGATCGAGAGTAAAACAGCCCCACTGACAAGGCTGGGGAAACACACACCTTTGATCCCAGTAGCCACACTACTTGCCATAGAAACCAGGTGGTGCACACCTTTAATTTCAGCCCCAGAGAGAATTCTAAAATGGGAGGAGACAGCTCTCAGTCACAGTCTCATTCTGAGATTCCTGGAGGTAGGATTGCCATTGGATTGAGACTGAGGTAAGAGCCAGTATGCTGACTGTAGTTAGCAGCCACTCTTGATTTCCCCTAGGAGTTGAACAACACACTGAGAAGTTCACTTTTTCTCTTTGTTTCATACTATATCCTCCTTGACAGTGAGCTTGTGATTACAGGCTATCTCTCTTGTTCTGTTATTTTTTTTAAAGATTAATTGTTTATTATTATATTTATTATATATAGTGTTCTGCCTGCATGTGTCCCTGCAGGCCAGAAGAGGGCAACTACATACAATATAAACAGGCAATAAATGCATCACCAATGTCTAGTTCATTTTCATTTGACAAATTCAGAAAAAATACTCCATATCTATCCTGTCTTGATGTATTCAAAGTTTTGTACCTAATTTACTTTCTATCACAACTTACATTACTATCCAAAACTATTTCTTTTTTTTTCTTTTTTGGTTTTTCAAGACAGAGAAAAACTATCTTTTGATATCTCTCAACATTATGTACTTTACATTTCTTTAGTGATTTTTTTTCTGAGTCTCATAAATAAGGGAGGATCTAACTATAAAAATCTAATCTTCAATTACCTCAGAGACCCAAGAAGGAAATAATATTGACTGAGTAAGCAGGAAGTGTAAGCAAGGAACTTTCAAAAAATTGAGTAATGTCAGAAGCAGCTGGGTGTCTGGACAGTCACCCAAAGTTCCTCTGTAATATTGGGGAATCCATCTTTGGCCTATCTAAGAGACTTTTTGTGAAGTAGGACATTCTGAAGGGCTGTTCCTCTTTGTCTTAACAATGTTTGGCAGTCACTTTCTCTCTTTTGTGTTCTGCTTGTCCAATTAGGATAACATACTGTCAGCAGTCAAGGCAAGGACATTTTCTTGCCCAGTGGCTTACTTTTGTCACAAAGAAAGTAAACTTCATGCGGAGTTTCTTTGATGCTCATTATCTTCTCTGAAGTAGATTGGTGCTTCCAAGAGCAGACATGTCTCATTGTCATAAAAAAAATCTAGGTTATTAAAACATCTTAAATACCATATTCTATAGATCTCTGAAGTGTTTGAAAAATGACCTGTCTATCTAAAATATATGTTTGTTTGACCTTGAAAACATATATAATGTGACTACAAGTTTGATTATACTAGGTGATTAACTACAAAGCTGCATTTCCTTATTATCCTAAACAGTTGGTAATAATTTTCAAGGACTAGAAATTGGCATTACATTGTTAAATGAGCTGTATAGGTACAATACCTTGAACAAGATTAGAAAAGTATGCACAGTATGTTTTAACAAAATTAATTTCAAATTTGTGTCAATATGAAAATTTGTATACAATATTCAAAAGTCCAATCCAATGTAAAACTTTTAAAACTAGTAGCTGCTTTTTGAAAGAAGATTTAATAATCTATCTTTTTATCTTATCAACCTGCATGCAAGGTATACTGGTGCAATAGTGAAACAAATATTATGGGAATAATAAACCACTTTCTGATTAGAATTACATCCCACTCCATGAGATAGAACCCAAACATGGTACTACTAAGATGACCAAGAACCCAAGACTAGATAAGTCATAAATCTAGGCAAAAGCCTACTACTATTATTCTACAAAGGGAACAAAACAATAAACTAATTCCTAATGACATATTGCTATAGTCATATATTTGCTTAATCCTCATTGGAGAAGCTTCTTCCTGCAGTGGATGGGAACTACCGTCAAGACCGACAACTGGACAATGGGCAGAGAGTGAGAAACTTTGGAGAACTCCATCTTTTTTTGTTTGTTTGTTTGTTTTTCGAGACAGGGTTTCTCTGTGGTTTTGGAGCCTGCCCTGGAACTAGCTCTTGTAGACCAGGCTGCTCTCGAACTCACAGAGATCCGCCTGCCTCTGCCTCCCAAGTGCTGGGATTAAAGGCGTGCGCCACCACCGCCCGGCTGAGAACTCCATCTTAAATGAGACATTTTCATGAAAACTTTCCCCTCATGGCTCGGGGTTTTATGCAGAAATGGAGGCATAAGATTTTAGCTAGAGGTGGTGGGTGACTCCAAGGAAACAGTGTCTTCTAGACACAACAGGATTGATGCACAGATGAGCCCACAGAGAATGTGACAGCATTATAGGGCCTTCAGAGGTTCAAGACAGATGAGGGTCCCAGCATTGAGAAGAGATGGGGCTCACACCCCTAACCTAGAAGCTATCTGTAGTTGATACAAAATGGCAACGGAAAAATCATTTTTCTCTAACAGAGTCTTAGTGGGCACTTTCTTTACAAGTAGGCTCCACGCCCAGGAGCAGTTAGCCAACACAAAACAAACTCAATGGTATTTTTGTAGACTTTTTTGTCTCATTTTTCTTTATTTTGACATTTTTTGTTTTATTAGTTTTTTCCTTGTTTATTTTAATTTCTGTTTGTGTGGGGATTTGTGTGTGTGTGTGTGTGTGTGTGTGTGTGTATGTATGTCTGTTTCTTGGTTTTGTTTGTTTTTCAAGGTAAAAAGAAAAAAATGAACATGAAGTTGCTTTGTTAGGGATGTGAGGGAGGATCTGTGAGGAATTAGGGAGCAGAAAACATGATAAAATACATTGTATGAAAGTTTTTTTCACTAAAAAAGAAGCAATGGAAGGCCGGGCAGTGGTGGCGCACGCCTTTAATCCCAGCACTCGGGAGGCAGAGGCAGGCGGATCTCTGGGAGTTCGAGGCCAGCCTGGTCTATAAGAGCTAGTTCCGGGATGGGCACCAAAGCTACAGAGAAACCCTGTCTCAAAAAACCAAAAAAATAAAAAATAAATAAATANATATATATATATATATATATAAAAGAAGCAATGGAGTTAAAGTTAGTTAACAGGTTGAGCCCTAATCCAATATATTAGTGTTCTTTAGGAAAGGAGAATTTGGAGATAGACATTCATACAGAGAAAACACTGTTTATAACAGGACTGCAGCCACCAGCACACCAGGTAAAGATGCCTAGAACATTTTCCTCCCTCCTTGTGCCATAAAAGGACCAACCTTGTCCACACTTTAAGCTTGAACTTGCAGTCTCCAGGACCGTAAGGTAACACATTGTTGCCGTTTAGGCCACCTAGTCTCTGGCTCTGGTTGCTCGTGTTAGTGCAGATACACTGCTGTTTGATTTGTATATGCCAATAGAAAGAGCAGTCCATTTTAAGAGCAATCTTAAAACTGCTTAAGAGGGAGGGGAGTGAAACTCATGGTCCTTTCCTTAATTCATCTTCAAGCCCAAGGAAACTTATGTGTCCTAAGCCCCCCCCCCAAATATAGTTTACTGTTCTTGATAAGATAAAATGTATTAGGTTATTTTAGTTTGGACTCTATTTCCTTTGTAGTTGATAGTATAAGTATGATTTCACCATAGTAAATTCTGTTAAACCTCAAATAGAACCATGCAAATATATACAAGAACCAAAGGCAAATATTTGCTGTGGGAAAGAAGAAAGTATCCTTATTCCCTTCTTTGCACAAAGGTGGGTTTTGTGGGGGGGGGGACAAAGAAAAGTAAATTATCCGCATTCCCATGGCTCCATTCATTGACTACAATGATGTCGATCTGTTTACATTTACACATTTTCAATTCCATTCAACTCCAAATAATGAGAGGTTTGTATCTGCATGTGTCAAGTTCATCTCAACTGGCTCCCAACCTCTCAATTAAATAAAGCCTAAGCAAGCCCAGCCTCCGTCTTGGCTTGAGAAACGGCAAGCCTGCCTCATTCCCTTCTTCTGCCAGAGGGTAGAAGAGGAGGGCTGCAGGCAGCGTATAAAAAACACCAGAGCAGTACCCATCTTACCATCCAGATCAGAGTCAAGCCACAGACAGACATGGTTGCCAAGGGCTGGCTGCCGTTTCTGCTGGTTGCCCTCTACCTAGGCATCTTCGGTAAGCTAAGGAGGCTTTTTTTTTTTTTTAATCCCCATCTAGTTACTGGGGGGAATCCGAAGACATTTCAAATATAACAAGGCAACTTTGCCCATTAAACAAACTGTGGAAATTGTTTAATTAAAACAATGGGTAAATTAGACCCTAAGCAAGTATGCATTTAGATTGTGAAGTCTACAGAATTTCATATTGAGTTAAGTGAATGCATTTGACTTGCTGGAAATAGCTGGCTGCAAGAATCAATGCTTTTCTTTCCAGAGTTGATAATAGAAAACTTGCTACAAATAGATTTAGTATATTTACTTTAGTTATATGATAGGAATCGTCACTGTTCAATTTATAAAATTTATACATTGAGGCTTGAGTTGTTTTGACCATGGTTACTGACTGTATCTACCTTGTAGCAATCCACTAGTTCCTAGTTTATTTGCGGCTTTCTCAAACATTGTAGGTGCTGAACAAACATTTCCTTGCCATAATAAGATCATACACTCAGCCTTGTGTGCCCAGCTGCCTTGGCCCCTAATTTAAAGCAAAAACTCAAGCACTACAGACTTATTTGTTCTTGCTGAGAAATTTTCTACTCTTTTCCCCACAGATCATCCCTGCGAAACTCAGGAGTTAAGATGTCTGTGCATTCAGCTATGTTCCGATTTTATTCCTCGTAGCTTAACTAAGTATGTCTGGGTGATTCCCGAGAATATCTACTGCGACAGAATGGAAGTCATGTAAGTAGTAAAGATGAGGAGAAGGGTGGAAGCCCCTTCCTGGGAGTTTTCTAGCTGGTGTCTCTTTACAGAATGTGCTTCTCAAACTGTGGGTCGTGGCCCCTTGGGGGCCACAGCATTAGGACGACTGAGACCACTGTACTAGATGAAGACACTGAAGACTGCAGTTCTGGGCAATATCATTCCCAACAGAATAAGACCAATACTTGTGCTCTCATTTCTAAAAATGACATTCATTCTTTCCAGAAAACAAAACAAAACAAAACACAAAATCAGAAGGCAGCTCTTAAATGGAGAAGATAGCTGATTTCACAAACTCTGCTGAGTAGAATTAACTTTGAAGTCAATGAAGTCAATGAATACTCAAAAAGTAAAGATACACAGCCGTGGGCAAGGGGTACAAATAGGGACCTTCAGGAAATCTCTGGATTATACGCTTGGATGCACCAACGCATACAATATGGTCTAATGACTCTAGTGATAACTATCCTTGGGGAATCAACCTTGCAGACTGTAGGAAATTCCTTCACTCATTAGTTATAACATTTTATCTGTCTATCTATCTATCTATCTATCTATCTATCTATCTATCTATCTATCTATCTATCTATCTATCATCAATCTATCTACCTATCATCTATCTATCTATCATCTATTTATCTATCTATAATCTATGTGTCTATTTATTTATCTTCTGTTTATCTATCATCTATTTATTTATCCTTCTCTATTTCTCTATTCTTCCTATCATCTATCTATTATCTATCTATCTATTATCTATCTATCTATCTATCTATCTATCTATCTATCTATCTATCTATCTATCTCAATGTGTCTGCTTTAGTTATTCATTTCTAGGTAGCATTACCATACTAGAGTATAAAATAAATGTGGCTATTACTGCACATTCTGTAGTTCAGCATGCTAGGTGGCTGGGGTGGCTTCTCTGCTCACTGGGAAGAGTGAGTGGAAGAAGAGGAGAGAAAATCCACAGGGCTGCAGGGAGCATATAAAATGCACTGTGCAGTACTGATTCTACCATCCAGACCAGAGTCAAGCCACAGACAGACAATGGCTGCTTGCTGTTTTATGAAGGATGGCAGATCGACCAAAGGCTCACCTGGAGGTTCTCCGAAGGGCTCAGCTTTCAACTCAGGCTGCTGGAAGAGTTCAGCTCTTTGCTGATAGCCCTACACCCTTCTAGGCTGGTTGCTCTCAACCTCCTCAATGCTGCAACCCTTTAATACAATTCCTCATGTTGTGGTGACCTCCAGCCATAAAATTTTGTTTCTACTTCATAACTGTAATTTTGCTACTGCTGTGATTCATAATGTAAACATCTGATATGCGGGATATCTGATGTGCAACCACTGTGGAAGAGTCATTCAATCCCCAGCTTGAGAACCACAACTGTAGGCTGTTGGCCTGTGGAGGTTTTCAATTCCGGGAGGCTCTCTCCAGGTTGTTCCCACCTGGCTATTCGGATTTAAGCAATGGAAAAACCAGCCTCACACCACACCAATCTCTCTCTCCCAGTCAGACTTTCTCTTCTGCTATCAGCCAGAGAAAATTGCTTTGGCTACTACACGAGATTCATTTGAAAAATCTACTTTTAAAAATACGACTTTATTTAGCTGTTTAGTGACTGTGATTGTAGCTGCAAGATTCCTTTTGTCACTTAACATGACAGAGAGGGTCATGCCTCTTCATGGAATGCTGGGAAACAGGATGGGTTTCTGCCTGCCACAAATATAAGCGTATATGTGTGCAGGCAAGTGCAGCCAAGGAGTGCTCATAAGTTCCCACAGTTCGGTTACCTAGGGTAAAATTTAATTTAGAAAGGAACTAGAACAGAAGCTTCCAGATCTGACTGGCTTTTACCCGCTGATTTGTGTCCTGTACCTGCGCCCCCACCCTCATCTGCTTTACTATTCAGCTCTGGAAGCTGGAACCTCCAGCCCCACCGTCTATGATTTTGCAGGTAAAGTATTTACAGAAGCGAGCTAAAGTAAGGTCATTAGGATGAGCGCAAATTCAGCATGGCTGGTGTATGAGTGCTTTGTCTGCAAGGATATTTGTGTGCCACATGTGAGCAGTGCCTGCAGAGGCCAGAAGAGGGTACTGGATATCTCAGAATTGAAGTTTCAGACAGTAGTGAGCAACAATGTGGTTGCTGGGAATTAAACCCTGACCCTCGGGAAGAACAGCCAGTGCTCTTAACCACAGAGCTGTCTCTCGGGTCCCCAGTACAAGCACGCAACCACCTCTCCAGCCCTTACTGTAGACAGTTAACACTTGGACCATAGGGAAAGTGTGAGGAAGGTGGCTGTCTGGAAGCCAAGTAGAGAGACTTCAGGAAAAGCAAGCTTGCAAATACCTTGGTTTTGAAGGTATAGTCTTCAGAATTTGAAGAAAATACATTTCTAATATTTGACTCACTCTTTCTGTGGTATATTATGACAGCCACATCAAATTTCCATGGTTCCAAAATAATATATCTCTGTAAGAACTGAGGTGAGTGTGAATTCTGTTGTTTCTTACTTTCTACAGTCTTTTTCTTTGTCATCTAGATATAACTAAAAGAAATTGTTTATTTTGTCTGCTTTTGAACTTGAAGTTAGTGGAATTACCTGAATACATGTATCTTTTTGTAATTTGCATCTATTACATAACATCATATTTTGTAATCCATTTATTTTGCTGTGTTTAACTCATTTATTCAATTGAAGAGGTAGTATTTCATAGCAACAACAGCAATAATAATAAACATGAATAGAATTCATTTTGTTAATGCACTGTTGAATAAATCACAATTTAAGTGAACCTTGGTACATTGGTGAAACTTTGTAATTCTGTGGAGCACAGAACTAAGAAGTCATGCTCTCCCTGCTGGACAATGAAAGACTCTTAAACGGGGCCCTAAAATCTAACGAAATCAGCAGATACACAGCAATAAAGAGTATGTAAATGCATGACCGACGGGCCTGCCAGTCTGAGTCTGATCCCAGGAGACCACCCTGTGACGTGCACGTGCACATGAACAAATCAATAACCAAACTGCATTTTTAAAAAATTAGCTAGGCATACTGATGGGATTAAAAGTTCCATTCTACCAATGGACAATCAATATAGTCTGAAAAACCCATGTGTTCATTTTTAAGTGTCTGCACTTCACGTTGCAGATAGTATTGGGAGTGTGAGTAGCATGTTGTGAAATAAGCACAGTTACGATTTAACCAAAATACCTTATTTTTGCAGTGTCATGCTGAAAAATGGGACATTAATTTGCTTGGATCCTGATGCTGTATGGGTGAAACGTCTTACCGGAAATATTATGCAGAGGTAAAATTAAGGCCAAGAGTCTTCATATTCATGTTCTCTCATTTTTATTTTAGTGACAGGTATGTTTAGAAATACCCACAGATACATCGTAGAAGACAACACATCCACAATGGTATCAGACTGTGTCATCTAGAGGCTCCCAAAGCATCCCCAGACCAGCATCTCTGCCTCCCCTCAGCCCTACTGACTCAGCAAGGACAAGGACAGGCCCCCAAAGCTTTGTTAGCATCTCCGAGCAACTCTTGGTTGCTTGGGCATCACTAGTCTACACTTTTTATTGAAGGTGACAGCAACTTGACCTGTGTTACGAATATCCTGATTGAATATAAAGGTGATATAAATTTATAAAGTGCCTCATGCCAACCGAGTAAGTAGGTTAATGGTCCATTTGTTGAAAGCAATTTTAAGGGGAAAAATTTTGGGTGGAAAATATAACCATTTCTTATGTTAAGGTCCAAATAGGATTTTCAAATCAATGACTTGAAAAGTAATAAAGAGCATGAAGCAGACAGCAGGAAAATATTTGAATTGACTCCTGAGAAAGAAAAAGGGGATTTTAAAGCTACGGTAGCATAAATGGGGAGAGATGGCCACTCGGAAACTAGTTCTTCATTATTTCCCAACCAGAACATCAGAGCTTTCAGGGCACCCAGGGGCTATGTGCTGGTTATGCCTTTGTTGCTGTGATAGTACTGCCCAAGTCAATCTGGGGGATGAAAGAAGTTTCTGGCTTACAGGTTACATCCCATCATTGAGGGAAGTCAGGGCAGGAACTCAAGACAGGAACCAGGAGGCAGGAGCTGAAGCAGAGGCCAAAGGAAAGCTGTTATTGGCTTCTTCCGCATGGCTTGCACAGCCTGCTTTCTTACGAATGTCAGGACCACTGTCCAGGAATAGCACAGTCCCCAGTAAACTGGGTCCTTCCAGATCCATTGTTAACCAAGAAAGCATCCCTGCACACATGCCCACAGGACAGACTGATGGAGGCAAATCCTCAAGCCAGGCTCTCTCTTCCTAGGTGACTCAGTTTGAGTCAAGCTGACAAAAACTATCCAACATGGCCACCTTGCTAGCCACAGGCCTGCTGGAGGGGAGACCAGAGTCAGCTGTGAAAGTGTGGTTTGGTGGTCTAGATTTGCCAGCTGTCCCTTGAGGTGTTCTTCTGGATAATTCAGTTAGCATCGGAATGCTTTAATTTGTCCCTAATTTGATCTATCAGGGAGGCATAAGTATGCATGTAAAATAGTTAATTATGACTATTATGTTAACTTTCAACTGACCAACCAAACGGGTTTTATTTTATTTTTTTAGCTTTTTAAAATTTTTTAATGTGTGTTTTCTAGGGAGGAGTGGATAACGCTGTGTAGCTGTGTAGTTACATGTGCTTTGCTTTGATTTCAGCCCACATCTAAGGCCCGCACAAGAGACTGAATACCTACTGCAGAACGAGTTGTATCTGCACCATCGTCTTGAGAATGCACATTACCTAGCTTTTTCTTGAAGTTCACACACATTGTGTCGGTTGAGGACTGGAATGAAGCCCTCTGTCCATTCATTCTGGGGCCTCTTCCTGCTTTTCGGACTTGCTTATGGAAAAGAGTGATGATTATGTAGAAAAAAAAATAAACCTTGAGTCTCACATAGTGTGTGGGTCGTTTCTCCGTCAGGCTCAGTACCTTTCTAGACTCTGCCCCTTCCACTGCTGGCCACTCTGTCTTTCAGTTTACATGATTTTCTGGGGGAAGCTCCACAGCTGACTGTTTTTCTTCCCTCCACACATTTTGACATTCCATCTAATGTCATCAGATGCCCTTTATGTTGACTGACAAACTATCCACATATTGCTGAACCTTTTGTGCTCCAAAGGCTTATTTCACTCTAGTCGAGGATGCCACAGCGCTGCAGCCCAGGGTAAAGCATGGTTCTTCGTCTCCAGTGACCCAGGCTCAAACACTTCTTCTTTCAAAGATTTTCATTCAACAGAAAAAAAAAATCCGAAATAAAAATATATGTTAAGTCAGGCTTGGCGGGACATACATGCAATATCAGCACTTGGGAAGTTAAGGTAAGAAGATCATGAATCATGAATTCATGACTAGCCTGGTTTGTAGGAAGACTTTCTCTCTCTCTCTCTCTCTCTCTCTCTCTCTCTCTCTCACACACACACACACATACACACACACACACACACACGGGAAGGTAACAAAGCAGCATTAACTATATAATATAATTATTCTAAAATTTAAAAAATTACTTTTAAATTTTTAGTTTTTCTATGTGTGTGTCTGTTGGTGTGTGTGAATATGGGTGCAAAAACTTTAGGTGTCAGTCCTAGATTTCCGTCTTGTTTGAGGCAGAGCCTCTGCTGTTTTCCACTGTGGATGCCAGGCTAGCTGGCCCATGACGTCCCAGCGATTCATCTGGCACTGAAGGAGTACTGGAGCTACAGATGCTTGGTGTCATGTGGATTCTGGGAGCCCAAGCTGAGGTCTTCATGCCTGAATGACAAGCGCAATGGCTCACTGAGTCGCCTGCCCACACCAAGAATTTGTTTTTAACTTAAGCAAACCTTCTAGATAGCGTTGGCGAAGATGAGAGGCAAACTAAATTAGAGCCCTGTGAGCAGGAACAATGGTAGGAAATGACAGACTTGCCACACTTAAGATGACAAGAATGCCGCGGGAGACAAACGAGGGCTGGGAAACAGCTATAGCTGTTCCCTGACCACTTAACTTCTTCCTGGTAGAAATTCTGTGCATTTAATACTAATAAATATTAAATAAACAAACATCCACTTTCTGCTTGCCTTTTGAATGAAGGAGTGTGTTAACAGATGAATGTCATTATCTCGGAGCCAAAGCAGGAACACTGTGTCAAGAGAAGTCTCTGCGTAGGTTCTGGAGCCTTTCTCTTGACAACTCTTGATATTTGCCCTTGTCTGCCAACTTGAGGCCTCTTCTTTTCCTCTACAGTCTTGCTGTGTTTTTTTTTTCTATTTTGAGTGGAAAATCCATGCACAGTGACTCGCTTACTTTCTCTAAAATTCCATTTTCAATTCTTAGAAGACATAATTTGTTGGCTTGTATGTTTGCATCCATCCAACTACCTGTGGCCTAGCGCCTGTGGTCCCATGGTTCAAAAGAAGCCATTTGTGGTCTCATTTGCAGAGCAAAGAAACGGTCTTCAGATTTTAACGACACAGGGTATTTTCACTGTGGTCTGCACCATGTATGAGGGGAAAATATCAAAGACAGATATTAATAGGAAGAAAAAATATACTTCCTCAGAAGAAACGTTATTGTATTGTTTATATGTGGATGTAGACATGTGTGCATTTGTGCATGTGTCTGGGTGCAGGCACATATGGAAGCCAGGGGTCAGTCTTGTTTCTTAATCAGTACTGTCTTTTTGGGGGATGGGGACGGAGTCTTTCATTGTTCTAGAACTCACCAAGTAATGGGTAGGTTGGTAGGTGTGGAAAACCCAGAGAACCCTCTGCCTGGCTGGCATTTCCCTGTGTTGAAGTTGCTCCTAGATAAGCTCTTTATAGTGTGGATGCTGAGGACTGAACTCAGGTCTTTAGCTTGCAAAGTGAGAATAGATTTGGAACAACATAAAAATTAAATTTATACCCCACTACAAGGTCATGAACAACCACCCAGGAAAAGACCCCAGAAGGATTAAACATCTCTACATGTGTTCCATGTGTGTCTTTGTGAAGGTCAAGGATCACCTCTGTCTATCTCCATCTGTTGTCCCGCACCTTACCTTTAAAAGACAGAAGCTCTCCCTCAGCCTGAATCTTACCAGTTCACCCTGATAAGGCCAGCAAGCTCTGGGGGTCTGGGTCCCCCTAGCCCAGCACTGCGGTTATAAACAAATGCCAGCACACCCAGCTTCTCACATCAGTGATGGTCAAACTTATACACTCCAAGCAACTTACTCACTGAGCATCCATCCCAGCCCCTGTGCCTTTAGTGTGGACCGTGAACAGAATGACACATTTTATGGGACTTTTTTCTCTCAAGATTCAGACTCCTTTCTTTCCCCAAACCGTAACCTGCTGAACATGTTGAGGAAAACCCATCTTTCTTATCATTTTACCCACTAAACTGATCCTAATGAGTTAATGGTAAGAAATGGTAAAAAGAATAATAATTACTGAAAATGCCTTGAAATAGATAAGTTCTAGCCCTAGTATCTTTAAAGTAATTTCAGGCGGGTCACTTCCAAGTCCCAGACTTCTGTAAACTGCCATCCTTAGAATCTACTTTGTTGAAGGCTAATGAAATTATGACAGAAGCAAATGTTCACCAAATCTTTCTCTATAAGTCATCGGTTTTCTTAGTCTCTCTAAAAGCTTGCTTCCCGTTCCACACTGTAACCTCTTCTCCGATCTCTTCCCCATGCCCTGAGTCTTTGCCCATCCCCTGATTTGCACTTAATGACTCTCAAGTTTGTGAGTCAACTCCAGAATGCGTTCCCATACCCCTCAAGTCCAAGGTATCTGCACTTCATTTACGAAAACTGAGAAGTTCAGTTGCCTGATATTTAACCTCATTGTGTAAAGAAAACTTTTATATCAACAGTGTCTCAATCTCTTGCCAAAGATTATAAACCCAGAAGCTAGTAGAGAACCGAGGCACAGAGCCAGAGATTCTGATTTTATCTGTGAGTACTGTTCTATTTCCTTTTCAGCGAACAAGGTAAGACCGATCCTGGTTACACCTACCCTGTGTGAGACACAAAGACATAAAACCTGCAGAAAGAGACCCTCTGTGTGCCTGAGTGAGGTGCATTTCTTCTAGGTGACCCAGTCATTCATCCCCATGTTGGCTGAGACATCTCGGCTGTTGCTCCTCACCAGTCTCCTGCAGACGAAGGCCAGCTAATATACTTTCAGACTGACGTGTGGCCTTCTAGTGCCAGTGAAAGAAATGTATTATTAACGTAGCCAAATGTCCTTTCAGAGTTTATGCTCTTTTGCACTGTTTGGTGATGAAAACAGTTGGAAGCAATCACTTGTGGGAGAAACTCCGTCTTCTGCTTCTGTTTCAGATGCTGTTGGTACACTATGGAGGGAAGGCAGGGCAGAGTGCTCAGCCTGTGAAGACAGCAGTGTGCGGCAAAGGCATTCTCACTGCGGCAAAGGCATTCTCACTGTGGCAGACCAGAAGAAAAGGGCTGGTCCAGACCCAGGACCCAAGCCATAGCCTTTAAAGGCCCACCCCTAGGGTTCTACTTGCCCAGTAAGTCTCCACGTCCTGAAGGCTCCAAGCCTCCCCTAATCGCTCCACCAGTCAGGTGACAAGCATTCAAAACACAAATCTGTTTTAGCTCTAAACCATACATATTTCTTTAAAAAGATAATATAAAATTTCTCCAACTCCTATGCCCTCAACTGTTGGATCCCATCCCTGGGGATGACTTTTGTTAATTTTATTATATATTAAGATAGATAGATAGATAGATAGATAGATAGATAGATAGATAGATAGATAGATATCTTCCCAAAAATGGTCTTTGCGTGCACAAGTAAATTCTGTAATATGTGGGAGTTCTTCTCAGCTTTTTTATTTACTTATTCATTCATTTTCTTAGCAAGGTACATAGGGACACAGTATTTTACATTTTGTGCCTTAGCTGCTCCACTACTATAGACATTTGGGAGGTTCCAGACTTTGGTGAATATTTATACACTAATTTATTTGTACACATGTGCAACTGTATCTTTAGGTTAACTTCACAAGCAGGAGTTTCCAGTCAGAGAATCCACAGGAGCTTTAGATTTTGGTAAAGATTTCCCAACCATTTCCAAAGAACCTGTCCTAGCTAACCCTCCCTCTATTGGCCTATAAAAATGCCTGTTGCGCGGCAAGCTTGTGATGGAACGTGCATCTAACCTGCGGTTCTGCCAGGCTGCTAAGGGACAACTGTGAGCTCACTGAGCCTTTTTTCTTTGTGAGAAAGGTTGGACTTCTTTCCACGCAGTTGCAGCTCTTGGTTCATGCATGCTAACTCGAAACCCACCAACTGACTGGATGCTCACACGCTGTCAGATGGCAATCAACCTAACTGTTGTTTGGTCTGGTTATGTAACAGTGACATCTGTAACTCATAAGCACCTTTGCTTCTGCCTCAAGCTTATATAGCCCAACTGCTTCTCTTCCCAGGATGAAGCTGGTAATTCTCCAGCACACTGTCATTTGATATTGGTGACTGTAAGCATACTTAATCTTCTTCATTCTTGAATAGGTCTCTGTGTGCTTTGCCAGTAGGCATGAGCTTGACTTTGGCTGAAGTTAAACTTACAAAACAAGGTTAAAATTTAGGGCTGATAGGAAAACATCTCAGTTTACATGTATGTTCAGTCTTTCAACCTTGCCTCATGACTTTGTCACCCACAGAGTTCATGTTCACAAACAGAACTCATAATTAGCCTATATTTTTTTTAAAAAAAATCACAAAGACTATCACCATTTTGAGGTTTATGGCTTTGTGCTGTCCTGGGCTCATGCAGGCCTGGAGTCAGACGTGAGTAAGAGAGGAAGCACAGGCCTGTATTCTGCTCAGAGGGCCTCGTTCATGACAAGAAGCCAGGAGTGCCTAACAGAGCTGTTTCTCCACAGGAGCCACCTGATGG